TTCATTTTCAAGACTTTAGAGAAGAAAACAAACGTAGCATAACATGCAAGGCACAAAGTGAGGGTAAATAACCAAAAATTAATCAAAGGAATTGGTTTTCCAAACATGATTAAAGGGATTGGTTTAGATGGTTAAACAAATAATTTGTTTAATTGTTTAATTTTTCTATTTCCTTTGGTGGACCAAATAATTGCCTTCAATACACTCTCAATTCAATGAATGCCAATAATTAATAATCTTTCAAACACTACTAACTAACCAACATTGAAAATTCCTTCCAGCACTTGGATTTTTTTTATTTTTAATCATTGTGTGTTCCTTCCTTCTATTTTTATTTTTTTTTTTAAATAATTGAGAACAAAACAAATCATGTTCTAACATTCTCATTATTTGTCACATTAACGTTTGATTTTTCCTTGAACAAAAAATTGTATGTAAGGGACCTTCTTTTATCGTATGACCCTTTAAACTCTCATATTCTCTAATAAGAATACTTTATATACATTGGACCAAATTTACTAAAGTTTAATGATCGATACGAATAATGAATAAATTGTTCTTTAAGATTTACGTGTGTACTTTAAATCTTGCATTCGAGACATTTAATTACCATAAAATAGTTACGCAGTATTGGTTTACAAGTTTCTTATGAGATAATAATAGAACAATAATTTGTTTTATGCGTTGTTAAATTGATAATTTAGGTAAGGACTTCTAATAAAAGTCACAAAAATTAGGTGGGTATGCAAGACTTTTGAACCAACAACAACTACAATTAAATAATATAGTATATAGTTCAGCGATTTTACTTTATTATTTACAATTTTTTTAATAATTTTAAAATAGAATTAAGATGTAAATATTTGTATGCACCTGCAAATGTGACAGTTTAAAAAAAATTATGTATCTTTCATATTTAATTCCCTATCTATGATTTTTCTTTTAACATTATGATGATGGGATATTAAATTGATTGACATCTATTTATATCATCATAAAGTTAAAATATTAACATAAATAGTGTGGCTTTTAATATTATTGTATTGAAATAAATATTGGTGAAATGATTGATAAAGTTAAAATTTTAAATAAAAAAAATATACAAGAATAACAATGAAAATATTTTAATATTTGAAAATAAAATAATACTAATTTATATATATTTTCCTTTTTATTTTATATAAATGTTTTTTCAAAATTAAATATGATAATAAACGTAATATACATTTATGATAATAAATGTTGACATTTTGATGGAATATAAATAATATATATATATATATTACCATTTTAATATGCGATTAAACTTTTATTTATTTGTTTGTTTCTTAATTATAGATCTACAGAAATGGGGGAGCACGTGTGGAGGGAGTATATAAGCCATGAAGTGCAACAAATAGAAAATGTTGAATAATTTGTCTCTCATAGTTGTCATTCTTTTTTACATTTACAAATTTGAAGAAGTTTAGTTCCACGGGACATGCGAAATCTTGACTTTCTGGACATAAAATAAGTGTTTTGAAAGGAATATAAACACAAAAGGTCAAGGGTAAAATTGAATGCTTGTGTGGTATATAGAAGCATGTATATGCACATGTTTTGTTCCAATATTCAACTTCAAATAAAACCCTGAAAAGACCTCGTACCCTGAAAAGCATTTTGTATCACACAAAAATAAAACAATATTTCGTATAATTAATAAAATTTTACAAAATTTAATTCGAAGATTCTATAATACGCAAATGCTTTCCAATTATTCCCCTTTCTAGGTCACAAAATTTGTGAGATTTTTTAGCATCTAATCAAGGGTGAAGAATTTATTTTATTTTATTTCAAAGTACAACAAAAAAGGTATTAGTGACTCATTCAACTCCATAAACTGCGTGTATATTGATAAGATAATGGTTATTATATTCCCTTCATGATTATGAATTCAAATGTAAGATTTGTTTGGAGTCACGTTACTTTAGTTTTAATATAATATTGAAAATTTAAATCAAATTAATATTATTCACTTTTATGATTTTTATTATCATCAAATTATTAAATATTTCTATAAACTATGATATAAAATGTGTGTATATATAAATTTCGTGTAAAATGAACTCAATTTTAAAAATAAAAAATGGATTGCGTGAGAATAAAGATGGAGGAGGTTTTGAATGTTTGATAGTCAACATTAATAAGATTTGTGGTCCCACGTGGAATGTTCAAAGCACGCCACGTGTTGACTCAGAACAAAAGTCTAACAGCTGGCATTGCCGGTTGGCAAATTTGTCTTATTCTCGTTCATACGTGGTAAGTGTTGCCACCTAAGATTCTTCCCACTCCACTATCTTTTTTTTTTTTTTTTTCATTCTCAATTATTATTTAATTTTAAAAAATAAAACTTTAATCCAATGTAGTTTATCAAAATAATTAGTTTGTAATTTATTTAAATAAGCTTTTGATATTACGTAAATGGTGTCTGTTAATTGAGTAGAAGGGGGATTATGAAACGTGAAAAGAGAAAACAGTTTTTAAAGATTATTTAAAATTATCTTTTGCGTGGAAATATTGTTTATTATCGTATTAAGGTTTTAATTAATAAAAAAGAATATAGAAGGTTAGTTAAGCTATCTGATTCTTTAGCCAAATGTTCCTAATGACTAAAGTCCACTCCAACCTTCCAATTAAAATTGCTATTATTGTTGAATCAAGTTCATAGTTTTTAACAATTAGTACTAACAAAATTAAACCAAAAAACTAGGTAAACTTTAAATGGTTTTCTTTTATTTGTGAAGGATTTTATTTTATTTGTACAAATATTTAACTTGTTTTCGTCCTTCAAGTTTTATTTCAAATAACCATGTCCACATCATATCTTATCATAATGAGCAGACTCTTTGAAATGGTCTAAGTAACCTGTTATTTTAATAGTTTACGTAACATTCAAAGTTGAAACTTCATTAAAATAATAATACATAAAAAATATAATGTAATATAATAATTTGGTTCGTAAACCTATACCTAATATAGGAGTATATTAAATAGAAAAATCATGCTAACAATAAAATCTCTAACTAATAAAAACATAATAATTAACACAATTGAGACGTCGATCTCAACCAATATATTTTCTCATATTTATTACATCATTTGGTGAGCAATTAAACATTAATTAGGTATATATAATGGAATTGGTTGTTTGTGGCTGATACAACTTGTTCCAAATATATTTATTTACTTAATAATTTAACCACATAGTTAAATCGAGAAAGTAACCAACTTTAACTACTACATCATACTTTTTTTTTTTTTCAATTTTGTTATCATAAAACTTGTATTGATCTAAAAATTTTCATATTTGATTGATACACACTAAAATTAATATACATAGAAAATTTATTTTTTATAATTTAGGGAGCAAAATTAATTATAATACATAAATATATATTTTCCTTAGATTTTTTATATAATGACGAATAAAAAATTTAAAATACGTGAAAATACATAGAGTTAGAGGAATTTCAATGATTAACCCTTAAACTTAAAAATAAAAAAAATGGCGCATGAAATTGGATAATGGTGAATTGACAGAAATGGTGAGAAAGAGGAAAAATGTGACGAACGCCGACGATCCAGGCGAGCAAGACGTGACACGTGGGACCCAATCACGACGTCGCTTTCTCCATCGCTCGACTTTCGTGGATCCATTACCGCGGCCGCATCAATGCTCATACGGACGCGTAACATGGCAATTGTCTGCGGTTGCGATGTAAAAGTGTCATTTTGAACTTCAAACCCTCCTCCTCTTCTTCGTTAAACACTCGAAGAGAAAAATTACAAGTCACTTCATAGATAAACCCGGTTGGGGTATTTCAATCCTTTTGTCATTTTTTATTGGATTAAATTAAATTCTATAAGTCATGCTTGTAATTATTAATTAATATTGAAAATAATTGATTTTTATTTTATTTAAATTCAAGTTACATCGATAAAACATCTTAAATATGTATATAAATTATCAACAGAATATACTATTAATATCTTTTATTTAATTTAAATACCAAATGTTTTATTGTAGGCATGTTTACTATGTATTTTTTTTACCGTATTTTAATTAAGAAAATAATGTGATTTAGAAATGATAATTAATTATAGAAAGAAAAAAATAACTAAGTAAACCAATTAAGTTAAGTTTAATGAATTTAAACTTATCTAAAGTGTGAACCTATCATACTCATAAACATCATTTGTTTATAGTTTGAAATGGTGGAAGACAAAGATACTAGGAAATAAAAGACGTCAATTAAGTGTCACAGTTGTGATTGATGTAATGAATTTGGAGATGTGAGATGTCTCTAAGAATTAAATTATTACAATTAAAGATTGACGTTTCGATTAAGTTATTCTCACCAGTTGTTGCTAACTTTTTATGACCAAAACGCGTTTTTGTGGTTCAAGCATTTCAACATCTCATCATCAAATACATGTATTAATAATGCATTCCTTATATGAGAATGAATGATATATACCTCATCTTGTATTTTTTTTATACTTAAATGAGTTTAATTATAGAAAAAAATTACAATGTATATTTGTTTTTAAATACATTTTCAGTATATAATGTTTTGTGCCAATATTTAATAATATTATCTCATTTCACCAATAAATAAAATTTTACTAAAAATGTAGATCACACAGATTAAACTCATTAATTATATTATTAAAGATGAATTATTTGTAATTAAATAAATATATTGACTTTGATAATATATATTTTAATTATGATGAAAAAAAAAACGGTGGAATCTATTAAATAGAAAAAGCCATACGTTCCAAAGGCAAAAGGCCGTCCAGAAGTTATCGCCATCACGGGATGTGTATTACGGAAAAAGTCCAAGAGGTGTGAGTGCGTGACATCATTTTATACCAATTTTTTTTAATCATATAATTTTTATAACTAAATTAAATAATTTTCATTTTATGAAAAAAAATATTTTTTATTAGAAAAAATAATGTTAGGGGCATGTAATTTACTACGAGAGGTGTTTGATTTGACAATGGTCACCGACACAGAGAAGCACCTCCCAGGTTATGAATGACCAAAACACAAAAATTATACAATTAAATTAAAATAAATTAAATTTCTTAAAATTTTGGCCCTCCCAAATTCCACGTCATAACGGTTTCTAATTATTTTGTTGAACACAAATCCTGTGTGAAATAGAGAGGCCGCAACAACTGTATCATGTCTTGGTATAATGTAACGGAAACAATCATTAGGAAAACCATATTGCTTTTCTTATTATTATTTTTATTATATCACTTTTTCACTCACTATATGTTATTTATTTCTTTGACTTACGCAAAATAATTCAATTAATTTCATTTTTTTATATAATTAATAATTAAAAAAATACTAATCCTATATTTTTTAATCATTCCACACTAGCTTATTATTGCATGTTTGAAACAATTTTATTATCATTAATTAAAGCGATAAGAAAAATAGAAAGTGGATGGTGAAAGTTATTAGAAAATAAAAATATAGCTGAGAAATGCGAGTATATTAAAATTTCAATTAATTATTATTAAACCTGAAAAATCTTTTTCTGAAAAGAATGTAATAAATTAGAGCATGTTTTGTGTCAATTGTCTATCATTTCTCTCTCGTTCCATCTATCCGCGTAAACCACTTTATTGAAAGCGTGAAGGGGTGAGTGCCAACTAAGTTTTAAAAATTAATAATAATAATATTATTATTATTATTATTATTATTGATTTTAGTATAATTAGCTTGTTGCGTGTTACAAGGAAGGAGCCAGAAAATAACTAAGTATAGTGTAAAGAGGCTTCCACTTTTGTCTCGTAAAATAGAAGGGAGAAAAGAAAGAAAGCCACAAAAATAATATGGAAAATAATAAATTAATAAGAAAAGAAAAGCGAGTGAGGAAGAGAAGAAGGGATGAGAATCTGGTGGGCTTTGAGCTGTGATTTAGCTGTCCTTTTGATGCATTATTATTTTTATTTTCATTTTTTTTAATTTTTAATTTCATCCCCAATTTCTCCCTCTCTCTCACTCTCTCTTAACACACTCTTATACGCTCCCCCACTCCTCCCACACTCTTCCTAAATCCCTAGAAACAAACACTTTCTCTCTCTTTCTCGCACACAGGCGCATTCCTGCATCCAAATCCATCTTCACATTGCAGCAATCTACCTGCATTTTCTTCGCCCAGATCTGAAACAAACTTTGGCCTCTGTGTGTTGTTTGGTTTAGGCGTTTGATTTGGCGTTTGTTGTTTCTTCAGATGCCGCATGTGAGATGAGGAAGAAAACCTATTCCTTCCACCTCTCACTCCCCCTTTCTCTCTTCCTGCTTCTACTCGCACACTCTCTGTGTGCCTCCCAAGGAATCTCCCACAATGGGCCTCTCACCGACGCCGAAGCCACCTACATCAAGCAGCGACAGCTTCTCTACTACAAAGACGAGTTCGGGGACAGAGGAGAAAAAGTAACCGTAGATCCCTCTTTCCGCTTCGAGAACAACCGTTTGAGAAACGCTTACATCGCCTTACAGGCATGGAAGCAAGCCATTCTTTCTGATCCCAAAAACCTCACGCTCAACTGGGTGGGGCCCAATGTCTGCAACTACACCTACGTATTTTGCGCTCCCGCTCTCGACAACCCTAAGATCCGCACCGTAGCCGGAATCGACCTCAACCACGGCGACATTGCCGGATATCTCCCCGAGGAGCTTGGCTTGCTCACCGACCTCGCACTCCTCCACATCAACACCAACCGCTTCTGCGGCACCGTTCCGCACAAGTTCGACAAACTCAAACTCCTCTTCGAGCTGGATCTCAGCAACAACCGCTTCGCCGGAAAGTTCCCCAACGTGGTACTGCGTCTCCCCCAGCTCAAGTTCCTAGATCTCAGGTTCAACGAATTCGAAGGCACGGTCCCCAAGGAGCTCTTCGACAAGGACCTCGACGCTATTTTCATTAACGACAATCGCTTCGTGTTTGACCTGCCGGAGAATTTCGGCAACTCGCCCGTGTCGGTGATCGTGCTGGCCAACAACCGATTCCACGGCTGCGTGCCGGCGGGAATCGGTAACATGAAGCGGCTGAACGAGATTATTCTGATGAACAACGCGTTCAGGTCGTGCTTCCCTGCGGAGATAGGGTTGCTGAAGAACTTGACGGTGTTCGATGTGAGCTTCAACCAGTTGTTAGGGCCTTTGCCTGAGGCCATTGGAGGTGCTGTGAGTTTGGAGCAGCTCAATGTGGCTCACAATTTACTCTCCGGGAAGATTCCTGAGAGCATTTGTAAGCTTCCCAATCTGCAAAACTTTACTTACTCTTACAACTTTTTCACTGGCGAGCCGCCACGGTGTCTCGCTTTGCCGGCCTTTGATGACCGCCGCAACTGCCTTCCCGCCAGGCCCTACCAGCGCTCCCCCGGACAATGTAAGTCGTTTTTGTCGCACCCTGTCGATTGTAACTCTTTCAGGTGTAAGCCTTTTGTTCCTACCTTGCCTCCTCCTCCTCCTCCGTCACCACCGCCGTCGCCTGTTTATGTCCCTCATTCCCCTCCGCCACCACCGCCCGTGTATTCGCCGCCGCCTCCACCACCAGTGTACTCACCTCCACCACCACCTCCAGTGTATTCGCCTCCACCTCCACCGCCACCACCTCCACCACCGGTTTATTCTCCCCCTCCACCCCCACCTTCACCTCCTCCGCCCTCACCGCCACCGCCAGTCTATCCTCCACCCCCTCCGCCGCCCTCACCACCGCCACCATCGCCACCTCCGCCATCCCCGCCACCGCCTGTCTATTCACCACCTCCTCCTCCTCCTTCCCCACCGCCCCCCTCACCGCCACCACCCTCACCAGTATATTGTGTAAGGTCTCCGCCCCCACCTTCACCGCCTCCGCCATCACCTCCACCTCCACCAAGTCCTGTATTCTCCCCACCACCACCTGTGCAATACTACTATAGTCCACCACCGCCTCCACAGCACTCGCCTCCGCCGCCCCCACCACATTCACCACCGCCCCCACCGCATTCACCGCCTCCGCCTGTTTATCCCTATCTGTCACCACCCCCACCTCCCCCTGTTCACTCTCCACCACCACCAGTCCATTCACCACCACCACCACCATCTCCTCCACCTTGTATAGAACCACCACCACCTCCCCCACCTTGTATAGAGCCACCGCCGCCTCCACCATCGCCACCACCTTGTGAGGAGCATTCACCACCACCACATCCTGCACCTTACTTGCCCCCACCATCACCTTCACCACCACCTCCCCCAGTTCAATACAATTCTCCACCACCACCGTCGCCGCCACCACCAACACCTGTTTATTATTACAATTCACCGCCGCCCCCACCGCCATCATCTCCACCACCTGCCCCTGTATATGAAGGGCCTTTGCCACCTGTCATCGGAGTCTCATATGCATCTCCTCCTCCACCTCCCTTTTATTGATTCTTTAGAGAACTTTTCTCCTCTAACCCTTGCCCTCTACCCTAGCAACGAAAAAACCCATTAAAGTTAAGTTCATACTTTTGTTATTATTGGTGGCCATTTCTGCTGTGCCCTCTTCTTCCTGTGCCAGCCATGTCAAGTAAGTACGCGACTCTCGTCGCGAAAAATAAAACCTGAGAGACCAGAAGGGTTTGTGTAAGGCTGCATGTGATGTTTGTTCTAGTATAGGTAAACAGAGAGGAGGTTACAGTGGATTGAGGTAAGAGGAGAAAGTCTCTCCATATTGATTTGAATTGTTATGGATATTCAAGTTGTGAAATAAAAATGGCAGAGAAAGAGTAGGTTGCAGAGAAAATGTGTATGTATAGGGATGAATTTGGAGACCATAATTCAGGGTTGCATTGCATAGACAGTGGTAGCACTTTCTGCTGCTGCTGATTCTGCAGGTTTGTGGAGTTTATTGTTATCGTCTCTCTTATATCATACTTTTTTTTTATTTAATTTTTTGTTTCTTTTGTTTTTCAATTTATAGTTTAATTTAAGAACATTTTACATGTATTGATTTTCTGAATTGAGGTAATTCGTTTCTCGTACTAGTGTGTCTCGAAAATATTTCTCTGCTATGAGAATGTTTTGTGTGCTTGTGTTTCACCTGCCCATCTATCTGCATTTATGTGATATCCCCTCCTCTGCGATTCTCCCTGCTTATGAGATAGATTAACTTACCTCCCCATTTGATAATTAGATATTTGTTTCAGTTCGAACTTTTGGAGGCCTGTGTAATTAGGAGCTCCAAATATGGTTTTGACCAATCAAATGCAACCCATCTATGTTTCAACTTTAGATATGGTTTTGGCTATATCCACTGTCTTAGCAAAACAATACTACTATTTTGCAATGATAATTCGTACGTGGAGGATGGTTTACGGAATCAGAAAAATGTTGTTTTGAAAATTTTATTTTAAAAAGCTGATAAAAAAAGTCTAAGTTAGGAATCTAATTATGGTCTTTGATGTTATCAAAGATTATACTTGCGGTTTGAAGTGATCCTCAATCTTCGATCGAGGTTACCACTGTTGTCTATTGTTTAGAGGACCCTGATCCAGGTCATGGTGGTGGGACCTGAATTTCCATCCCAAGGAACCATTTAAGGACGATGGCATGCCAGATTTCATTTATTAAATTTATGAACCCTTTCTTTTTCACTTGATTAGCGGTATCGTTTAAGATTGCCCCCCATGTGCACCCTTCTTCATAATAATAAATCTTCTTTAGATTTGAATTCAAATATGTTTACTTAATGCACACTTTTCCACAATTAGAATTTTTTGACATCAATTCTGCTAACCTTGCCAAAAGCTCCTTCAGGTTAAAAGCTTCCTTCCCATTATGCCTCGTTTAGCAAACGTTCAAACTTGCTTTTCCTCTTATTTAAACACTTGTTTTGTTTCTTGTTACCACATTGGGTGCTCAACCAAAACTTCTGGCCATAAAAAACCACTAGTTGCTTTAACACACACAATTTGCTCGGATACTACTTTATAATAATGTTAAAATGTAAATTACTTCATTTTAGTTTACAAATTAAAAACATAAATTAATGTTTGTGAATTGAAACTTATGCTTTTATTCAAATGGCTTTTGGCTTTAATGACAAAAAAATGGCTTTGTCGTTTGCTTTTTGTTGGTTGCACCTCTTCTGTGCTACCCCTTTCATCACCTGCCTTCCTCGGGTGTTGTCCACTGAAACTTGTCTCACATAAAAAAAAAGTAAAGGCAAATATGATTGTGAAACTTTTGTTTCCACCTACCCCAAGAACCGACTCCAATTCACCCATCTCTACTATTTCTGGCCTGTCACTTCCAAGCCCATTGATGTGAATTGTTCATAATTTCTGATAATCTCTCTAGCCCATGTAAATTTGGGGCTTTTCACCCCTAAAAGGGACCTTAGGACGTTTCTATGTTAATAAAAATACAAAATAACGAAAATATAAGATATGTCCCACTTTATATTATCAACCAAACACAAACTATTATGCTAAATTATTCATTTTGATAACAACTATCATAAAAATAAATATAAAACATGATTTCTAATTGTCAACACCGTCCATTAAATTAAAAAAGAGAGAGTTGTACTTCTACAATATCACATACAATGCCGTTTGTTTTATGTTGAAATAATGAAACTGGAATTCCAAGGAACACTTGGTTCCATGTGATTTTAAAGACCATGTGGACAGGGATCAAAATTTGCTTCTCATCAAAGAGAAGGCCGTTTTCATGGTAACCTATTTTTTGTTTTCGTCCGCCATTTTCCTCGTTACTTGTTTTTTTCTTGAAGCGAGACACGCATTTGAATGGAAGATAGCAACTCGTTCGTCCATATTAGGGAAGAAAAAGGGAGGTGGCATCAAATTAACTTGTTTGCAATTATGACAAAAATGCAGAGTAGCGATAGCTAGTGGAGCTTTAAATATTTGCTTTAACGTGTTTGCAGATAGGTGTCTTACAAATGGGTGGAAGTCTTTTTTTTTTTTTTTTTTTTTTCTTTTTTAATTAAAAATGGTATTTAAAAATGTACTATCAATACACCATAATCTTGATTTTCATTGTATATTTAATAAAAAATACGATTAATTTCTTTGAAGAATTGGAAACCCTCTAGATAGAGTTGTTGTAGTGGTGAAACTTAGAAGACATGAGTGATTTGCAAGCCGTTCAAGTTCAAATATCATTAATACCTTTGTTAAAAGAAAATTCTTTAGGACATTGGTGAGCAACATTACTATTTAATTCTTTGCACCTTTTTGAGGCACATTAGTGTCCACAGATTAGCTGGATTCATTAAACAAATTTGTTCTTTTTATACACGAATAAATTTCTTTTACAACACCATTTAAAAAGCATAAAAAGAATTCCCCTTTTCAAAAAATTTGTGGATATTGAAGGGAACTGTGAACCTGGGGTCACTTTCTCCACTATGGAAACCATGGCATGTAAGATGAAAGTTGTATATACCTTGGTGGGTTTGGGTTTGAATTAATTGTGCATACCCGTTGTGTTAGGGGAAGGGAAAAAAAAGTGGAAAGAAGTAAAAGCATGGAACTTTCACATGCCCTTACTACCCTTGAATGAAAGGGAAAAATGAGAAAAATTGCAACACAAGGAGGACATATCCCACCACCAAATGGATAGTGACGTACATGAAAGGGTCCCTCCATATATAAATTCACATGGCCTGTGAAGGCTTTTCACATCCAACATGCAATGAAAAATATTGATGTTTCAAGTTGGTTGACTTGTTCTATGCCTCAACCGGGACATAAGTATTCATTTAATTTGGCTTCAAGGACAGCCTGTGATTAGGTCAAGCATATTTAATGCCATTTCATAAAGTGGCTCATGATATTGACCCCATTCTCACATCTAAAACAACACAAAAGTATCTCTTTCAAGCAAGATAAAAATTAAATTAATTTTTTTTTGAGAATTTTCCTTTTTCAAATCAACTTAGATTTACCATTAGTCTTTTACATATGCCCCACTATTTCAAATCTTCCATAAAATAATAGAATAGCTTCTTTCTCCTTTCTGGTTTCATTAGCTCAAGAATATACTAATCTTCATGATTTTAAGCTACCCTTCAAATCATCATTATGGTTACAATGTAAAAGTTTTTTACTCACCAACCATAGTTGTGCAACAAGTTTAAGCCTATATTAATGTCGGTGGTGCCATAAAAGGAAGAGTATGAAAGCAAAGTGAATGGAAAAGAAGGAGGATTGAACTCCTTTAAACTTGTAGGTAATTCATTAATGGATGAAGGGCAAGAAGGTGGGCATTGACAACTAATTCATATATGCTCATACCTAATCATACCCATTATTCACGGAAACACAAAATGTAAAGCCACTTCTTCTGATTGATGGGTAGGGTTTTGCGTACCCTAAGAATAATAATACTTTAAATAAGTAGCTATGGATTCTTTTGAGCAACCCATTTTTTCACTTCCCATTCTCTGCCAATCCAATAATTGAATTCCTCAGTGCACACACATAAATGAGAGAAAAAAAATAAAATAAAAAGTAACTACCACTGTAAACTTTGCAGTGTAGCCTCAATTTAGATGAAGAAATAGAAAAAAAAAGGACAATTTCAATAAATTACCTTAGGGAGAGTACAAAGTTTTGCCGCAATTGATGGGTCGCTGAGAAAGTCATAATTGAGAAACCCGAAGGGAAAGGAAAATGAAAATGAAAATGAAAGGGATGTTGAGGAAAACAAAAGCTTGGAAGAAAATGATGCTCGGAGCCACTTTTGTTTGGATTTTGATGTAGCAAACACAAGAATAAGACCCATTGGAATTTCCACTCTCGGATTATTCAATTCATTCAGAGTTCACCATCACCAGAATGTTTGCTCGTGATTTGCGTATTTGATTAGTGTTCATGTGTAACTTATTATGTAATTCTATTGTATTCAAGAAGAATATAATGACACTATTTAGGGTTTAGGGTTCATGTTTTGAAGGTATAATTATTTGTTTCTTCAGTAATTTGATCAAAAAATTGAAAGGGTGAGCACTCGTGATGATTTTCTACGGAAATAAAGTCACCGACAAGATTCGCGTGATTTCATAATGTTTTGTTCTCTCTTGTTTACACACGTGTGGTGGTGGTGCCTTTTTTTTTTTTCTTTTTCAATTACTACGATATTTACACTATTCAAAAGTCTCTAATATTAATGGATGTTGGTAAAATTCATGTATTTTAGGTGAAAAAGAAAACAACTCATATGACAACTATAATTAATTTGGTTTCGAGTTCAAACTCTAATATTCAACTACATTAAATTTTACAAGGATATAATAAATTGAAATCATATTCATTAATTTTTAATACA